TCCCTTAGCTAAAAATTGTTCCCATAGACCAGAAAGCACTATGAGAAGAATCTGTTCCAAGTGCTGTGGGAAAGCTGACCTTGCCTTGACACAGCACTCTTCCCCTGGGGAGTGCGAGAACTAGATCCCTTTCTAAGTGTTTCAGAAGCCCCAAAGTGAAAAAGAAACAAAAATCTACAGAAAAAGGTGCTTCATTCTGAATACAAAGCTCTGGAAATGGTCAGCTCTCTCTGGGAAATAAAATCATAGGGCAAATAAAGGCTGACTGCTCACCTGCTGTCCACACTCACCAATCTAAATGCAAAGCAAGAATACTGAGTCTTAAGCTAAGTAGACATTTATTCAGCAACTAAGTACTGCAAGGTGCAAGGCACTGTTCACATACCAGGGATACCCCAGTGAACAACAATCCTACCCCAATGGAGCTTACCACATGCAAAAGAACAAAAAATGTGTGTAATGTACTGCAAATACAACTTAGAAAACATTTCATGAGGATTGATGATAAATCACAACAGGGTAACCAAATATCCAAAGCTTGAAACCAAAACTGGAGAGGCGAAAAAATTATCTTGAAAAGATTTCCATGGTTTCAGAACTTTCTTATATCCTGAAGATTAAAAAATTCCTTAAACCTCAATCAAATGTAAATTTAAGCTGAATATGACCTTAAATATCAAAGAAGGCAAAGTATATCAGAACAGTTTGCAATGAATCTAGTTGAAGTCCACAATGGCATGATAAAATGTGATTATAATATCTATTGTTGAACAAGAATTTTTGAAAAAGTAATAACTTAGAGAAAAAAATATAAACCTAACCCAAAATTTTATAAAACTTTTTTTTTTATCCTAAGATTTGAGCATAAGAGGGAAGAAAAAGGCAAAAAGAGCAATTAAAACCCTACTGAAGCTCTGTTTTTTAGGGCAACGACACTGATAAATTAATTATTCGGCTACCATGGAAAGAGGTGTTCAAAATAGTACCACTAAATTATGATGGCATGCTAGCACTTTAACAGCTTAGTAATGGTTAAGAAGTGTGACCACTGTAAGAACATTTTACAAACAAGCATGACTCTGTCAATAAATGAAAGAAATAATAATATTACAAAAGTAAGAAAAGAGGGCTGGGGATGTAACTCAGTGGTTACAGCACTTGCCTGAATGCACAACGCCCTGTGTTTGATCCCCAGTACCACAAAAATTAAAAAGAGAAAAAGGAAAAGAGCTGGGCTGGGGTTGTGGATCAGCGGTAGACTGCTCGCCTAGCACATGCGAGGCCCTGGGTTCGATCCTTAGCACCACATATAAATAAATTTTAAAAAGGTATTGTGTCCAACTACAACTAAAAAATAAATATTTTAAAAAAAAAAAAGGAAAAGAGCTCATCTGAAGAAAATTTAGTCAGTCACCACAACATGGCACAAGAGTCACAAGTAATAATAGTAATTAAGATTAACACTCATCAGGAGTTTCCTAAATATCAGGTTATTTGCTAAATATCTTACATTTAACATTAAACCCTCCAACCGCCATCAAATAGATACTATTATTATACCCGATTTGAAAAAGAAAAAAAAGTAGATTTGAGAAATTAAAAGTAGTTTAATAATGATTTAATAAGTGATAGCACTGGGATCCAATCCCAGGAGTTTCTGACTCTATTGGAGACTGCCTTGAGCACTATGTCAAACAGCCTTCTCAAGTGGTCAATAGAGGCAAAGATCATGGAAGCACTGTCCAGAGGAAAGGAACTTTCCCCGATTCAGAGGAACCTGCCAGGTCCTATAGACAGCACTCCTCCCCTGATGAAAATATGTAACTTTTTCCATGCTCACAGAGCACTACTGGTTGGCCACAGCTTCCACATGGCTTACCTGCAGGGAGATCATGACCTGGCTCTGAAAGCATGCAAACTTGGGGCCCTTGGGAGTTCCATAGCACATTATAAATTACTAAACTTGTATCCTCGTTTTACATACCATCCTTATTGTGCTGGTTTATCCCAGGTCCTCCCAGCAATATTGGGATTTTAAGCCTGACCACCAGACTGTGTGCTGATTCCACAAGGTGACACTGCCCCATGGGAATGGCCATGCCCAACTGACAGCTTCTTATCTCACCACCTCTTTCAAAACCTCTATAACAGGGGCTGAGGTTGTGGCTCAGTGGTAGAGCACTAGCCTAGCACATGGGAGGCACTGGGTTCGATCCTAAGCACCACATAAAAATAAATAAACAAAATAAAGGTATTATGTCCAACTACAACTAAAATATATATATATTTTTTAACTCTATAATATACTTTCAAAATTGGAAAGAAAGTTTTCAAATTTCCCCTTAGATTCATAGACTTTCAGAGGTTCTGAAGAAAACATTGTAAAATTTAGAATGAATGACAGGCAAAGAATTTCAACAGCTCTAAGGCTACTGTTATCATTAACAGGAATATGTTATCACAGCATTACTGTGCATCCCCTACAACTGCCATCATAAAAGTGAAATGGTATGCAAGTAAGCGAAAAGAGTATAGACTCCCCTGGCCCTCTACCAATTTATATTTGAGCAGTAATAACGTTTTATCAGCCAAATCTACACACCATAATAATTATTTGCTCAAGTGGGAGAATAGTGCAAGATACCAACATACTGATTATTTCCTGGTATGTAACACACACATGCTGTATACAAGCAAGGAACAGGTGTTATCCCACTCAGATTATTTCTGAACACTCCTATGGTAAGATTAGACCTGGTGCTTGAGCCATCTGTTTACATGCTACAGTTTAGAGCTTTTGAAGCTTTCAAAAAGAAAAGTTTGCTACACAAACTTTCTAACCATGTCGGCAGTTAAATGTTGAAGATAGGAAGGTCTCTCCAAGGGCAAGACAATTTCTAAGGACTATGCCTATTCCCTCTGAAAGTACTCTGCTCTTCTGTTAAAAATCAAGTTCAAAATATACCAAGTTGTATGAAGCTGCTTGTTTCCTGAGACAGATAATATCTAGCTGGAAATGGCAACTTCCCTGGACCTCTTAACTAACAGAAGGAAAGCAATGCCATGGGTCCAGTTCAACCTGCATTTACTGAGCACATTCCATACCTGGTACTCTAGAAACACAAATAAATAAACCAGTTGCTTGAGAAGCTGACTTTCTAGGGGTGGTAGGAACACCTTTATACATTTGGATGAAATTTACAGAAAATAATAAAACAATGTAGGAAAAAAAGGATGGGTAAAGAAGCAAAAACAAAAAGGTAAAGGAAGCAAAAACAAAAGAAATGCAAGTAAACAGGACTGACTCTTCACTGAAACCACCCTCCTGGTTTACTTTCTTCTCCTCTTTGGGCTGACCTGTGGGTTTCCTTCCAAGGCTCTCCCTTCCTCTATTCAACCCTGAGGGGTCTGCTACATCCTCTTTTCCTGCCCTGGACAGCCTCATCTCCTCTCTCCTAACTTCAATTAGCTCACCTATACTGATGATTCCCAAATCTCTTCTCTCTAGCCCGGTTCTCTTTCATGAGCTCCAGATGGGAATATCCACCTGTCTGTCCAAGTGGCACCTCCAACTTGATATTTATTTTGAAACTGTACTCCATTCTTTCTTTTTTGTTTCCTCTCCCAATTATATTCCCCACTATCTACTGAAAACCTGAGTACAGAGCTAGACCCCTTGCTAACCCCTCCCCAACACCTAGCAAGGTAGGTAGTTCCTAAATATTTCCAGATTCCACCTACTTCTCCCCATCGCTATCCAAGTCTAGGTAACCACAATTTACACCTGAACTATTTCTCTTGTCACAAAAAAAATCACACCAGACCTTTGTTTAAAAATCCTTCACTATTTTGGGTAAGTCCAAAACCCTAAACAAAATTCCTGCATCAAGGAATCCCTACCCTCAGTCCTTCCTCTTTCTGCTTGGGCTTCAAGGAGACCTGCTGCCTCTCCATCTTTGGCTTCAAGCAGTTCCCTTTGTTTGAACAGTCTTTTTAGCCCCTGGCAGGATTCCCTTGCCCCACTCTTCAGGCTGTAGCTCAGAGACCATTGGCCTGAAAGCTTTCCCTTTGCTTCCCCTCCCTATGCCCTCTACTTCCCCTATTACAGCATGTATCATCATGTCTTCTCATTAGTATCAATGCTAGAGTGAACCTATGTACTTGGCACTGTTAGGTCTTCAATCCTGAATGAACAAATGATTTTGCCAGGGGAAAAATTTTGTCTATCCCAGACTTTTTGCAAACTATAAAATAGTGGGATTTCCAGTTGGGAATATAGGATGGGCATTTAAAGTGGAATAACCAGTTTCTCTTCCTTTCCCTTACCCCAAGCCAGGCAGCCAAACACAGGGAGGGCCCTTAGTTTAATTAGAGCCCTTTCTTTACAGGCCTTACATAGCATTTTAAATTTAAGGCATTATGTGGATACGAGGACTCAACAAATTCCTAGCAACTAGATTAGGGGTTTCCCTTGGCAAAACTTCCTATGATTACTGTAACAGACTAGTTATTAGAGCTTATTACTTCGCATTCACATTAAATCACACAACCACTCTGAGAATTTGGTGCTGGTCATCCCCATGGTTCAGAACTGGGATGCCACGATATCAGGTAACTTCCACAAGGTAACACCACTCACCAGAATTCAAGCTCAGACAATACATCTCTAGAATCTTGGCCTGGCCTATGGAAAGTAGCCAATGAATGAATGGTCAATCAGGAGATCAGGATGACCCATTGGGGGCTACATTAGAAAAGAAACACTTGGATAACCCAAAATGCACTCATATTTGATTCACAGGTGCATCTTGGGAAACATGTTCAAATCACAGGCACTGTTAATTCTCTTATGGGGCACCACGATGGGGAAAGCTTTTTGGTCACAAGGAGGTTTTGCAGGCTGAACTAACACATCACAGGTAGAGCAAGCGTTGGGTGTCCCAACACACAGCCTGCATGAAGCCAGGCCAGAGAAGCCTGTAGCCTCTTTCATAGCTTACCTCCCGCAGCTCCAGTCTTTGGGCCACAGCTTCCAGGCTCTCCTGGCCAGTGCTCTCCACAGACAATGTGAACTCCACAAACTCGTTATTGAGCAGCTGGATCCGCGCAACCAGGCAGCTCTTGCTGGACACCGTGTAGCGCCGGGTGCGTTTCAATTTCAATCCAAATGGCAGTGGCATCTTCTCCCTTCAAGAATGGAGGGGCAAAGAAGGAAAATCCCGCGGTGATGACGTCGGGAGAAAGCGCCCCTCTCTTGAAGGGATGAACTCTGTCCAGTTTCGCGCCGCTCACCCAGCAGCTGCCGCCGCCATTAAAAAGCAACAGAGTCTCCAAAGGCCAAGAGAAGGGAGCATCCACGCCAGCGCTGAGGAAAGAGGAACCTCAGTTACACCAAACACCGTAACTCTGGACTTGGCTTTCAAAAATAAAAATCAATGCAACTGGGCCTAAAGAACAAGCTCTCCTCTCCGCTGGAAAAGAAGGCACTAACAGGATCAGGGAGGCACTGGGGAAGTTCACCATCAGAGCCAAGGGCTGGGCCCGGGGTCAGACTCCACCCCTCACTCTACCCTACAAATAGTGATGACATCCTGTGGCTACGGTCAGGATTAAACAATAGCACGACTATAATCCCAAATTCGGTAATTGGTATAAAAGCGGTCATTTTAATATTTAGAACTGTTAATTTTTAACAGGTAAATTAATTCTTTGGAATACTCCTGTGTCAGCGCTTTTTTTTTTTTTTTTTCTATTCTTTTTATTGCCTAAGTGAAAATAAGTGCAAAACTCCTCCCGAAGGGCTAGGCTCGAGTTCCAGACGCTTTAGGCAAATTAACCTTGAACTCCTTATAGGAGGACTAATCCCTTCTAACATATGGCAGCTGCGAGTTTCAAAGGAGGCGAATTGCTTAGCAAGCATTTGCAAAAACCCTTGCTGGCGTATAAATACATAGGTTATCGGATTGATTGATTTATAAACACATCATAAAAGACCCTACAAATGCCCAGGATCAAACCGTGGTAGTTCTGGTAGTTCTCTCCTGGGTCGGGACGTCCTGGGAGGCTGTGGGCATCCACCTGAAGAGGCGGGCGAGGCCTTGAACGCCATCCTAGGCTACCGAGGAGCCGTCGGGGTTCCGCAAGACCATGAGGCTAACTAGGCGGTGGAGAACTCAGACTCCCGCTTCCCCGCCCCACCGAGTGGAGAGCAGGCGGCGTTGCGGGGCTAACGGGTACCCTCGGAGGTCCCGGAACCCTCCGCTCGCGGCTGCGTTTCCGAGCGGAGGTGCTTGGCTAGGACCCGCCCTTCGCTCCCGGAGGGAACGTTTACAGGGGGCGGCTCGCGCCCCGCAGGAGAAGGTGAGGTTGGCGCCAGCGGGGGACGCCGAGGCGGAGCCGCTGCGCCCCAAGTGCGTTACTTACAACGTTGTTAACCACACCTGTTGATGGTAACTTCTAGGCCGAAACTGGGGGCGAGCGGCAGCTGAGTACTTTTATATCCCCTGGAATATTTTCGCCCCTAAAGGAATCGACAAAATCACAGCTATTTCCAGAGTGCTCAGGCCGCTCTCACCAGCGACCCTGTTCACCTAACTCGGGCCTCGGGAGCTGCGGCTTTCACAACCTCACGCTACTATGGGCTGAGCAGGGACTCCATCCCAGGCTCCTCCTCCACTCCCAGTCCGCAGGCTGTCCCTCTCCAGACGGTGGCTCAGCCCCAAAGGTGATAGGCACTCAGGGATGGGGAATGGCACAGCTAGAGAACGGGATTTAGTTATTCCCCTAGCCTTTGCCGAGCTTAACATTTTGAAATTCCATCCCACAAATGTGTATTGCGTCTCTGAGCACAAGGCAGCGTAATGAGCATCTTGAGAAATCTAAGACGAATCCTAAGCCATCGCTGTCCTTAAGGAGATTACAAGCATGCTATAATTACATACAGAGCTGTATCTCTAATGAGGACCTGACCATGGTTTTCTGTCTGGTTTTTTGTTTGTGTTTTGTTTTTTGAGCTTTGGTTATCCCCAGAAAGTTGGGTTGGTTGGTTTGTTTGTTTTTTGTTTGATAAGTTTTTGTTTTTGTTTTTAATTAAAAACAAGGGGTAGAAGGCCAGAGAGGAAAACCAAAACTGGAACTACCTAAAGCAGTGTTAATAATATTTTCTGACTGCCTTCTGTAAGTAAACTCATTATAATATAGAAATGGAAAATAAATATTATAAAAAGATATGGTGTCCACCTGCAGTAGTTTTTATTCTCTTTGCCAGTTTCAGACATATAAACTAAATAAAGCAAAATGAAAAAAAATCAAACAATGAGAACCTTAAAGAACCTTAAGTAAGCTTTAACTAGAAAATTTTCTGATAAATCAGCAGTGTTTGTGTAGATTTTTAAAGGTTATATATAAAGATGGGCATGGTGGCATACACCTGTAAACCCAGTGATTCAGGAGGCTAAGGCAGGAGGATCATTGCAAGTTTAAGGCCAGCCTCAGCACCTGTCTCAAAAAGTAAAAAGGGCTGGGAAGTAGTTCAGTGGTAGAGCACTCTTGGTTTCAGTCCCCAGTATTCCCCCAATATATGTGTATACACATACACACACACAAATATATATATACAAAATTCTCTTCCATGAGATAAGTTGGATGATTTCAGTTTTATATACAAACTATAATAACTGGAAACAACTGATTAGTATGAATGAAGAGACAAGATATTGCATATATGTAAAAGAAAGATAAAACATTTGATTTAGGAGCTGTTCAAATATGATAGTTCTTCATGACAAAGAACTAAGCCTTGAATACAATAGTTACTATACTATATAACTTAATTATTAACTTCAGCTTTGATTAAGCAAACTCAAAACTTTCAATTATCCCTGAGATTTCAAATGTTTTACAGCATCAGGGATAAGAAAAAGCCAATGTTCCTCTTTTTTATTTTGGTAAATGTTATAGCTGAAAGAGTTGAGGGGTGTGTGCGTATTTACATGTATTTTTCCCCAAGAGTCCAGCTTGCTTTTTCCTTATTATATAAAACCCACTGCATTAAATAATGTTCTGCTTAGTAATTTATAAATTTATCAGTGATTTACACATCTTAATTTGCATTTGTGTACAGTATTTGCTACCAAATGATGCCATAAAGCTAAGAATGTTTGAATATAACAGCCTATTAAAATAAAAATAAAATAGAAAATTACGATTCTTTGGGGGGGGGCAAAATAATAGGTATGCAATAACTTGCATTATGTAAAAGAATATGCAATAATTTGAAAGGTGGTTGGGTCTGGAATTATAATTTAACTATTAAAAGAAAGATAATTCATAGCTTCTAAAAGAAAAAACTGGGAGATAATTTCTGTACAAACCTTTTGTTTTATAGTAAGAAAACATGTTAAATTCTGCTTCAGTACAGTTTACAAAAGGTAGTCCTGCTGCTAGTGAATTCACTTTAATTTTTCCTCTCCACATCCCCTTCCAAAAGTTTCTCAAATACATTTTTAACTCTGAATCCTGTAGGTTCACACCTAACCCAAACACACTACTTAGGGCCTCACCACATGTAACTTTGACTACATTGATTAATATAAATAATCATTAAGAGGACAGAGTATTTGTCATCTTTAGAATGATATGTACGTCTACTGCATTATATCAAACCTGCTTCTCACGTGCAAACATCTGTGTTAGATACTCTACTATAAAATATCCTAGAAACAAAATAGGCAACTATTTTCAGGGTAAAATTACTGTCTATCTCACAAACTTTTAAAAAAAATCTGCCAGCTACTCTTAGGCATATACGGATTGTCACTTGAAGCACGCGAACATTCTGAATGTGCTTTCCAGCACGCACTATTATCATAAGGCTTTCTCAGCAAAAGAAAATAGGACGAGCATACCAAAAGTGGAAAATCTAATCAGGATTTGCAGAAATCACAAGTCGGAATTTGCAAATCCAGGAATTCCTTTTTCCAGAGCAAACACGCTTTACTCCAAAAACAAAACAAGGCGTTACCCAACAGTCCTTCCAAACGCCCCTTCTCTCCAAAGTTATCTGGCAAATTTCACACTTACATATTCCAAGAGACACAAACATGCCTGACTTTCAAGATCCTGAACCAGAATAAAGCCACAGCAACCCGCCGCGGAGTTCAGAAAAGTTAGAGACCCGTTTTGGAAATCCCTGGGGCAGACCCGAGCGAACCTGGGAAGGCAGGACTCCGCTCTTTGTTAGCTCCCGCCGGGGTCCGGCAGCCGCGACCCATCCTCGCGGACGCCGGGAGCCCCAAGGCGCGCGCCGCCCCCTCCCGCCCGCCGGGGCCCGCGCCCTCACCTGCACCCGCGCCCGCATCCTCGGGGCCGCGCGCCCGCTCAGCGGCCCGCCTCCCCGGGCCCCGCCGCGCGGCCGCCGCAGCCGCGCCCGCACGCCAGCCCGTGCCGCTGCGCGCTCATGGGGATCGCCCGCCTCACTTCCTGTCTCCAAAAACGCGGCCCGCAGACCATTCCCCTGGGCAGAGTCCCGCGGCAACGAGGCGAAGGCCCGGGGGACGCCCGCCGGCGAGGAGCGCCGCACGCAGAGGCCCGCGCCCGCAGGGCCGGGGGCGGCAAGGAGACGGACGAGCGGACGCGGGACGCGCGGGCGGAGCGGCGGAGCGGCTGGGGCCAGGCGTCCCTCCCCCTGGCCGGGCGGGCGGGCGTACGGATCCGGGGAGGCGGCGGCGGCCCGTGACCTCAGAGAGTTGGAATGCGGGCGGCGGGGCGCGGGGGAGGCGCGGACAGCTGCGCCCGGCCGCCGGGGAGGGGGCGCGCCGCTTCTTTTTTTAATCGTGTGACCACTTATTTTAAGAGTTTCCAAATAAAGCAAGCCTGTTAATGAAATGAGGGGGGATTTCAGTTCCAGGTAAAGAGTTTTTAATTCCCATGTTATTAGGTGGTGATCTTTAAAGGTAATTTCAGAACACCTGAAGTGCTCACTTCTAACCATGTATTCTATAAGAGGACATGGTCAGTACGGTGGGCGAATAACACCACCACCACCCCCAAAGAAAAGGCGATAGACCTCGAATAACTTGTAGGTTCCCACAAGAGAGCTGCACGCTCCTCTAATACACTAGAGCTATAAAGGTGGTGACTCCAGGGTCAAGTTGTTTGGACTCAAATACCAGTTCCAACACTTACTAGCTGGGTGGCCTTGTGGAAATTTCTTAACCTCTCTGTACTTGTGTCCTATAAAACGGGAATAATGTAATTATTATCTAATAAGCAGGTAAAATGTATGTAAGGCTACATTTAAATCTAGGCCGTATTATGCTTATTACACAGTCCATTATTGCTATTACTAGGTATTCCAACATAAACTGAGGGATAAAATTGTGTG